ATTTACTTATATCAACTTCGAAACTGTACATATTTTAAAATTGAGTTGTTATGAGACCATAACTGAGAAAATGTTGCTCAATGTGTTAGTCCAGTCGTAAATGAGACTTTCGTTATTCCCTTCCTACAGCAGGTTACACCGTATGTCAACATTATCTTCCGATTTGCACACTAAATGTCGGATATTATTGTTCAAATAACGGATGTTAATTGAAAATTTATTATTGTTGAAATGGCTGCTAATTGGTTTCTATTCATTTTTGGAGTTGTTGTCGTTGTTTTATAATTAAATGCACTAATTTATTCCAGTTAAAAATGACAAAACTCACATTTTTTTCCTCGGCCCTAATCACATGAAATAGAATAGAATAGAAGCGTCGGCACTGAAGAAATATGCCCAAGGCCTGTTGCCGATTCTTGAATTTTTCGTGACTTGATTCACAAGGGATCCGGCCTTTGGAACCCGATCTTTCCATAACTGCCGATTGATTGAGATAGCTGCCGGACTTATTGCCTGGTCCGTAATTTGCTTCACGCACCATCAGTCCATCTCTATGTTTATGTAACAATATTTCTTTATGAAAATATATCTCTATGTGAGAATGATGTAAATACATCTCTATGGAAGTACCTATATATTTTATGGAAAATATATCTTTTATAAAATATATCTCTATCACTTTAAGGAAATATATATTTAACAATGTATATCTTTATGTTTATGTACCAATATTTATGTTACAATATCAGTCTATAATCTATCAATCTAGCAGTGCTGTTTATTATGCACCTAAAATACTGGGCCTTAAAAAGATGTATGGCCGACGGCTGCGCACCCTCAGGAACGACTGAAAAAATATTTAAGTGGCAAGGAGAACAGTCAAATACTGATTAAAATTTAGTGGCTACGTTTTTCTTTGTAGGAGTTACGTTTTTCTTTCTATAAAACACGGTACTACTAGAAGGAAAAGAAAATGATTTTCTAATTATATATGAGTTTCGTCATGCATGCAGTGTCGAGACTAGACTATCCACTTGCACGATCGATAGTTTTCAGTCTTGCATGATGTATAATAATTTTCACTGGGTTCTCATTCCTTAATTAACATAATGTAATCTCGGACATCTAAAAGGGTCTAAAAAGTGATTTTGCGCAGTGTGAATGAATCAATTAAGTACCATATAGCCATAATTTCTTTACATATAATTTAGTTGTTTGTGGCCGTTTTGATACTTTTTGCCCGTTTTCGCTTTGAATCATCTAGGTAGCAACCGAGACATGAAACCGCGATGAGCGAATTGCCGTTAGCGGTTAGTCAAGCGATAGACACGGACTGAGAAGGTGTGCGCTGATTGAACTGCTTTGAGGCTTGAGTGGAAGTCCTCGTGTTAGAGCAAAAACTTTGGCGTGTCTTGTTTACAAAATTGTTTCTTCCTTTGATCGTTGGTGGCGGTTGCGTAACATGAACGAATTTTGCTTAGTCAGCAGATGTCGAGTGTCAACTGAACGACCGTGATAGCATATTTTTTATTTGTGTATTGCCTCGCTGGCGACAGTTTGAAAGTTGATTTTTATAAGAAATTACCATTTTAAAAATCGCGGTAAATACGAGAGGATTCGAAGAAGTCAATGACTGATAAATAATTCTCAAGCAATATTTAATTTTGGGATGGTGAAAAGGAATGTCATTCAATGTAATGTCTGTTTTGGACTGTTGTGCACAAATCGAATGTCAAACTTAAATTTGGCGTTTTTTTCATTCCACATGGTCATGAGTACGTTCGGCATTCTTGGATCAAAAATTATTATTTACTGCAAGTAGAAGTCTGCGAATTTCCCCTCTTTTACAGATGAACGTTTTTGCATCTTGCTTCATTTGTCAATGCCGGATTTCTATGAGAAATGAGACACTCTATAACTTTAGATTCTGATTGTGCTCACTGGTTCAGTTGCTTCCGGTCGAGACAGTCGTGCATAACTAATTAACTATACACCGAACATGAAATAAGGTGTGGCTGTACATACGAAACTCGAATTGCTAACTAACTTGAACTATGCACCTGCATTGTCGCCCATAAGATACTGTGAGATGCATTCTTTATACTTGCAAGGATTTAAGTGATGAAAATTTCCACCTCATCTCCAAGTTACTAATTGGAAGATATAGATACTCTTGGTAATGGCATTAATTTTGAATTCAAGCTATGGTATGTACTATTCTGTAACCGTGCACTGCAAGTGTATGCATTAGGTACGGTAGGGGCTTCACGAGCGCGCGTTCGCATTACCAATCGTTTTGGAATATTTTCTGGGACTGCAATTTTGTGCGTTAGATGGTATCGTGCGACACAAAACTTAGCTATGTTTGGAAATTTGAAGTTGGAAGTTATTTTTTGCTATTATTTTTAACCTAACTTCATAACAAAAAATAATACGATGTAAATTTCCGAAATACGAATTAATTGGAGATCTTTGTAAAACGACAGCCAGGACGACCCTATGGAACCGAATGCTCTATAATCTCTGGGATTGTGCGCCCCGCTCAAAGCTGATCAACCCTGCTGGTTATGTGTACTTGAATTTACTTCATATCTGTTCATCTGGTTTAATCGTCTAAAATATTTTGTGCGATTAGTGGCTCGTTAAAAAAAGATGCACGGTTACCCGTTGTGTAAGGTTACGACCGTGGCACGGTTGTGGCGGTGCCATCATTGCAGCCCAGACAGGGTTAGCAGCCAAATCCATGAGTTCATCCTAAATTCTTAATTTCTCCAAATTGTAAAATATAATTTATTAGATTTCCATGTCTTATTAAATAAATGTATGTTGTGTCTAAACGAAACTCGAATTTTTGTTCCAGATCAAAAATGAGAAGTGGCTATGTCAACATTATTTACATATTTATACACATCTCATCTAGTAAGGCTACAAGATTTGATGGCCATTCACCGGAGTCATTCAATGACAATGCATCCTTCGTAACCGAACTAGTTCCCGCCCATCTGACTACACTGAAAAATTCAACCAATCCTAGATATTCGCACTCCTCTGATGTCACTTTAGTCGAGCCTGCTTCTGTGAACAGGTCGGGAATGGGTGATCTCATTCGCGCATCAAACGCGGACAAGGAATCGACTCTTGTGAAAATTTCAGGCAATGAACGTTCATTCACATCTTCATTGAATGCGACGACAACAGCATTTGATTCCGTTCGTCAGGAGGCCTTCGTTGCAGGCCACAAGCAAACTACGGAATCAAGTTCAAACTTTCCCATCGATCTCCGTCCTCAGCAGTTAAATTTGTTGAAACCTAATCTTAAATCTGACGTCAATTTTTCCTCCCTCCACTCGATCGCACCCTCCATGTACTTAGATTCGTCTGAGAAACATTCATCCTCAATTCTCAATGCGAAATCCGTCTCTGTTGGTGATTCATACATGCCAGTCAACGCCAGCAGCTTGGCTTCTTTACAAAGTCAAACTAATTTAATGCTTGATAATATTCGAATAAATCACTCCGTGTCTTCGGAAAGTACTAACGAAACTGAGTTCGACGACAACTGTCTTCATTGCGATGATTCCGGCTACCTTCATATTGACATGGATGGCGCCGATTGGAGGTTGGGTTTTATCTGTTCTCGTGGATTTCCACATGAGCATCCACTCCTGTCAACATGCATAGTGACCTTCGCTAAACGTGTCATGTTGCTCTTCCACGAGTTTTACGTCGAGCACAACAGCATTGTGAGTTTCTTTCGTATGGGAATTACCTTGTCTCTTGTTTGTCGCATTTGTTCCGATGTACATTGTTATAGTGACAACTTAGAAAATCTGAGTCGTAAATTAAATTTTAGTGGATTTGGTTGAGAAAGCAATCTAAAATTATTGCGAAGCGATACTATAGACGTGCTTTCAATACTTGACGCAAAGCTGGATGCTATGTATTTATTGTCCCACTAATTTCTGAATGCCTTACATTCAACATTTAAAACTGGTGACGTATTTACCCTGAGCTCATCTGTTTTGCGTTTGGTAAACGTGTAGTATGCCAAGTGCGTATTTAATATATAACAGATTTAATTAAATTGTTCATTCTCATTGGATGATATATAGATCCTAAGTCTCGTGCGTTTCGTATTTTTCTGCAGGCTCTTTTCGTATTATTAAAAAATTTTCTAGAAAGATGTACCGTTAAATGGGGTAACTTTGATCATTTTTTTTTAAATGATGCCATTTTTTTACTAGATAAGTTAAACTTAAATTGAAACATGCAAAATACAGGTCTATACTATAGCTTCACTCACCATAAATTGCTGGCTCCTGCCTCTCATTGTTTTGATGTAATTTAAAAAAAAGTGATGGTCTTTGTTACCCCAGCTCTTGGCGTATCTTAGACCGGGTGGTAAAATCAATTTTATTTTTTGGTAAAATAAATCCAAATAACTCCAGGTTTTGGTGCATTGTAGTAGAACTCTTCTAGTTACATATGCAAATGACAAATTTTAGGAAAGTGTCATAGTTTGCAAATTGGGGTGCTGCCCCCCAATGGGCGAAATGTGACCACCTAATGGCAGCCGTGAGGGGTAACGTTGACCGGTTTGGAAATTAAGTTAAAATTACCATATATAAGACTAGAGGCTGAAACATGAAGAAAAAACGTTAATAGGTGTATCAAACATAAAATATGTTATATAGGTACCTATGGTAATTTTAACTTAATTTCCAAGCCGGTCAATGTTACCCTGTCACGGCTGTCATTAGGTGGTCATAGTTCCTCCATTGGGGGGCGGCGCCCCCCATTTGCAAACTATGACACTTTCCTAAAGTTTGTCATTTGTATATGTAACTAGAAGAGTTATACTACAATGCATCAAAACCTGGAGTTATTTTACAAAAAAAAAAAAATACAAAAATTGGATGGGGTACTCCTACAGGCTTTAAATAATAGCTCTTTTTCGTGGGTCACATTTTTAATTTTTTAACCGATTAGATATGCAAACTTTTTAAATCTTTCTATTGTGTTACGTAGCCTCAGTATTAGGCCTTTAATGGCCATTGACTAAATTTTTCTATGTCAAATAGTTTTTGCGTTTTGGGGGTTTATGTTAAAAAAAACGAAAAGTGGTCAAAGTTACCTCGCGGGAGTCAACGTAACCCCCATTTTACGGTAAATTAATATTCACAAGATGAACATTCCGCATTTTTTACGAAATTCGCCGGCTTATGACAGCTCAAGCATTGACGAAGATCTGACGATGCCTATCATTCCAATGAATTATCCTCAAGTCTGTTGAGAACTCTCTAAATTGCAAGAAGAACATAAGGTCAAGTTTTTGCGTCGCTTAATTCATGGTGTGACTGTTTATCTATATTTTAAGTGATTAAGTCACTAATTATAGGCTTCTTTCTGAATCTTGCGTCACTTGAGCTGTATAATTAATGCGTTAAGTCTTTTTATTCGAAGACCTATCTTCGTCAAGTCTTTTTATTCGAATAGATATCTTATGTCTTGCTAACGATAGCATTCCTCTTCCAATTGAGTAGATTACATTCGTAAATTTTTCTACCGAAGAAATTTTCTACTCTTTATATACTATTTGAAAATAGGTTCAATATTTATTTAATGCGATTGACACATATCGTATCCCTGACTAAAGGTATGTTTTTTCTGCCAAGACGTATTGAATGTAATCCATGCCTATCATTTCCCTATAAGTTCAGGCCTTTTCATTGTAAGTCCTTAAACTCGTCATAATATCAGTTCCAGTTTCCTGCTAGCCAAGAACATAAAAAAACTGATGATCCCCCTCCCGTCCTCTCCACCAGGTCTCCGAGTGCGAACAGAATTTGCCGGCGAGCTGCAAGGTCATAGATTATCACAAAACCAGGGTGCCAATCCACATACAAGAACTTTATCATCTTAACCTCACCATTGGCGAGCCCAACAATGGTGCGTAATTTTATGCGTAATGTATTGTTTTTCATGTTTGATGTAAGCGTGGTTCCAAGAAAATTTAGATCTATGATATAAATATTTTTCATGGTCATTTTAAATTAGATTCGTGATCGTCGAGTGATTGAGAACAAAAATCTGTCGCTGGAAAGAATCGTTAATTATTTTGAATAAAATGAATTCCAAATGTTTTCTCTTCCTGACCTAATCCATCTACTATGCTCATTTGCTAAATAGTATTTACCGTGTGCGTCATTTTATAAATGATAATTTTTGTGTTTGTAGATTCTCTCGGAAGCCTGGGTGGTCGTAAGGGCTACAATATCACCTTTGAAATGTTCAACAAAACCTTGAATTTCTATGGACTAAGAGATGCATCTCGGCTGGTCAAAATGAATAACGAGCCTCAACCCGAGAATTTCCATGCTGGACTCAAACGTCGTGTTGGCACGCCCTTCGACTGCCACTACAACGGCTACCCTGTAATACGAAGGTACGTGGCAACGACTACCCCGTCATACGGAGGTGCGTTGCAACGGCTACCCCGTCATACGGAGGTGCGTGGCAACGGCTACCTCGTCATACGGAGGTGCGTGGCAGCGGCTACCCGTCATACGGAGGTGCGTGGCAGCGGCTACCCCGTCATACGGAGGTTCTACGCAGTTCAACTAGGAATGCTCGGTTAAAAATTCTCAATTCTCTTGATTTGCTTCGCGCGAATCAAGAACCACTTTTTTCCTATTGATATTTCTTGCGTGAAGTGTTATGAGACTTACTGCCTGCCCAGGACGCATAGAATGTAATTTAGTGCCGCCCGCATTACCTGCTGGCTGCTCAGACCACCGACGTGGTAAAGGCATCCATTTATCGTGTAGATTGATGGACTCGACTTATGGAAACTTTTATATTAATGGCACTCTCTATTGGGCTCAATACGAGCACTTTTCAAAACTGTATAATGTGGCGTACCGAAAGTTATTTCTTATAAGGTTGAAATTGATCATTATTGCACTACTTCTTGTAATAAAAGTAGAACTCTCAAAACCCGATGACATTCAATTGTACCGGATAATAATGAATATTATATAACTCGACAAGTACCTCATATTAGCTGGTTTATGTTAATTATATCATAGGTAACCAAAAAAATTCTGTTTGCATTTCTCAACAGAAAACAACTAAGGTTTTTGCGCCGATTTGTCGGTGCACACTGTATGCTCTACAAATTATTATAGAGCACGTCACAAGTTATTGTCTTTTCCGAAGCAACTATACTCATATGATACTGTGCTATCATGCAAATCGCATTCATTTCTCGCTGTCTCGTTTTTGCTATTCACGTGCAAAAGTTATAATTGCCAAATTTTTTCGTTGTCAGAAGACGAATCACTAGTCGAATGTTTCTTGGGCTGGAGGTTTGGTGGATTTTGACTGTTTATTAATTTTCTATTCTAGTATTTACAGTCCTTGTATTGCGTAAAGTATAATGTGCAGACGAGTCATTTTGTCATGTGGGTTTGTTGCTTTGCTGAATATACGCTTAACTGTTTCATTTTATTCGGCTATGACATTCTGCTCGACAGAGCGATAAGTGCATCAAATTTAACAAATAAAATTGCATGATTCTGAAGACCTGGTGCAACTAGTAGTTCAAACTTGTTTATAGTAATGAAGGACTTTGGAAACATTTAGAACATTCTTAGAAACTATAGAAGATTTCGATTAAACTGACAAATAAACTGAGATTGCCGAATAAGACGTTAATTAACTATTGAACTACACTGACTCATGAACAGTGACATAGAACTAAATTCAACTAATATTCGTAGTGCATGCTAAACCATAGGGTTATATTCTCAGTTAATATGTTCACTGCAAGCATTACATTCTAATACAAAAAGTTGTTTGGGATGATGTCAATCCTCTCAAAAATTCTTCTCTTTTCTATTATTATTCGTATGTATTATATTATTATTCACGAATTTCTTAGCCTTTTTTATGTCGAATGATTTTTTGCCTGCCAGCCAAATTGAGCACACTCAAAAATATTATGGGCCAAAAAATTTCGCATTAAATAATGCAGCGATACATCAAAAAATCTCCTGCAAAGACTACAAGAAACACTTGTGCCAGTCTGGTACTGCCTGCGGTATTGATATTTAACATTGCCGATCAATTATTTAAAAAAAAATTGCAAAACCTTGTTTAAAAAATACTTATTTGGCTATTGCGATTTTTTTTTCATTTTAGCCACAGCGAAAAACTTCGATAAACTTGAATTTTAATATTACGATACGTTGCTAGCTATTCATAATTATACCGCTGCTGTTGCTAGGCACTCTGCAGGCTACGAGGCGCCGGGAAGGGTGTCAGGAGGTTGAGGGGAGAAATAAGTTGTCGTAAACAACGTCATTAATCACGAGGGTCGGTGCTGGAATCCCGGCCTTACCTCGTCCGAGTTGAGTGAAGGATGAGGGAAGCTCCGGCTGTGTCAGCCCATCTTCTCGCTAAACTCGTGGCCGGATTAAGCTGGCCGTTAAATTTCGCCCTGCGAATTCCGTTGTTACGGGCTTCATACTCAAAAAAATATAACTTAGTACTCACTGCAGTAAGTGACAGAGCGCATTTTCTCGTCGACGAAAACTTGAGGTCACGGACGGACGGACAGACAGACAGACGGACATGGCTAGCACAATAGTGCATTTTTTCCATAAATGCGAAAATGCGCTAAAAATGGAGCTACGAACGGCGTGACAAAACGGAATAGGTTATTCGTTTAAGTTACGATTATTTAATTTTTTTCCATTTTTCGATTCAAATGCACCATTTTTTTCTCGAAATGTCTGGATTTCTTTTTTATTATCTTTCTCTCTCTTATTCATTTATCATAATAAAAACAGTTACTTCTGTATACTATTTTTAGCTAAATCAATGGAGTTAACGTAATTATAAAAATTTTATGGCAAGTGAGTTTTATGCTTAGGTTTCAGGTTGGGTCTTGTGTTTGGCATTTCAGAGGTTTACCGAAGATTCATGAAAAACATCAGTGACAGAGACTGACAAAACATCAGAGAATGTTGGACAGAAAATCCAACAAAACTTCACAACAGTCACATACGCTTTTGTGTTTCTCCAAAAGCAGAGTTGGAGGCGGGCTGGGTCCGGTGACATTGCAGTCCCAGTGCCAGTGTATGCTGGGCAGCACCGGTCCTCTCTGCCAGTTCGGCAGTATGTGCTCACGCAATAACCAGTGCAGTTACTGCGGCACAAACGGTATTTGTAGGTAATGAAAAAACTTTTCTTGGTTATTCACCCCGTATATTTTCGTGTTTGCGTTAAATAACTTAGATATTGAATTTTCAAGCTTTTACCGGCCAGCTATAGTAGTAGGGCTAGTTATAGTCTTACACGTATGACTATAACTAGCTTGATTATGTCGCCTTAAACGGCACATTCAATTTTAATTCCTTTTGCATTTGCGGCTGTTTTATTTCACCTTAATGCATTTCATATTTTACCTTATGCATTTTATATTTTACTTTTTGCATTGCATATTTTACCTGTTACATTATATCCTATCGTTTCATTGCCAGCTCCATATCTTAGCGTTTTGCGGCTGTTCAATTTCCTACCCTCGTACGGCAGCTTGACTTTCTATCTTTTTGCTACATTTTAGTACATTTTCTCTCCTATATCGGCTAGCTAAATTTCCTCTCGTATTAATATTCGTTTTCTTTCCTCTTCTTATGTGGCCCGCTTCATTTCCTGTGATAATATTGGAACCGACACACTTTCTTAGTTTACCGCTTTCAAAATATTCGGACGTCACAAATCTTCATGGCACTCACGGTACCATCTAATCAACCGTACGTCTTCATTTTATTGTCACGTATACTAAAACGACAAATCAACTTCAGCGATGTGGAAGGCGGACGACATACCTCGTGCTCGTGTCAGATGCGAGACGAGTGTGACAGTGGAGACGACGGAACGTGTGGGCAGAGAGAATTTTACGGTGGCGTGTGTTGCCACTTGCCTCACCACTTCTACCCTCTCGAGAACTTCAATTTTACAGGTAACAATTCCATGTAAATTTACTGAAATATCCTTTATTTTTAAATTATGGAAACCTTGAAAATTTTAATTTAGTTGGCCTATTATCAGAAATCATTTTCTCCGAAGGCAAACTTGGTATTAATTCACAATTTCCTTGATGTGATGCATAAACTTGATGATCAAGAGTGATGCATCAACTAGATGATCTCGCCCTGTGCGTGCTTCGCGCTTTGAATAATCACAGGAATACCATCTTATCTAGTACCATGATCAAGGTGGTAATTATTGCATTGCATTTAACCCTGCATTGAAAAATATCGGGCACTTGCACTCAGTTCTCCCCAACACCTCTCGGTGGAGCAAAGGCCCGTTGCGTTTTGCAAAGTGCCGGCTCGTGTCGTATCCCCACCAGCTTTCGCTGCTGCTCTGCGCTCCGAAAAAACGTTGCTTCCCGACTGGTGAGCTCTACCATTGCAGTTTGCTACTTGCTTTAGCAATCAAGTAGGAAAAACATTACAAATTAGACCTAAAACTTTTTATCTTTAAAAATGTTCTTTCAGCACATACTGATAGCTTACACTAAGCGGACATAGTCGAACACTGCTTCCCGACAAGTGCGCTCTACCATTTAAATGTGCTAATTGCTATATCTATCATTGAAACAATAACACTGAAAAGATGCATGAAAGTGTTTCAGCTTTAAAAAATCATTTTAAACTTATGCACCTGTATACAATTATTTGATCCTAAGCAGACATTATTAAATTACAGTTTGCTCGTGTAATTAAGCGTTCATTAAAGTCCAGTGGAAAATTACGATCACTCGTCCGTTGTGCAAACTTGATTTGTTTTTCTGGTTGCATAATAATTGTTTCCTTCTGCTTTCCCTCTGCAGATCCAACTTATACATTAAATCAATAATTTTTTTATTTTCCATTTCCAGTACCTGCGAGCTCCAACCTACTCGCAAATTCGCATCCTTCGGTAGGTACTGCAAAACTTCTCTGTCTCTTAATGATAAGCGCGAAACGTTACAATGCTGCTTTCGTTGCAGTCAAAATAGTTTATATACGCACGCATATATTTTTTTTAATTTTTTGCACTATTTCTACACCTCGTAGACGTTGGATTTCTACCCCTGGTAGACGCTGAATTTCTACACCTCATAGAAGCTGAATTTCTACACCTCGTAGACGCTGATTTTCTACACCTCGTAAACGCTGAATTTCTACACCTCGTAAACGCTGAATTTCTACACCTCGTAAAGGCTGAATTTCTACACCTCGTAGACGCTGAATTTCTACACATCGTAGACGCTGAATTTCTACACCTCGTAGACGCTGAATTTCTACACCTCGTAGACGCTGAATTTCTACACCTCGTAGACGCTGAATTTCTGCACCTCGTAGACGCTGAACTTTTACACCTCGTAGACGCTGAATTTCTACACCTCGTAGACGCTGAACTTTTACACCTCTTAGACGCTGTATTTCTACACCTCGTAGACGCTGTATATCTACACCTCGTAGACGCTGACTAATATTTTCTTGCTTAAACGTCTAATGATATGGAATCAAAAATTAACCAAATTTGCATTCTTCCTAAAATATTCTATAGTATTAAGATATAAATCACGATTATATTTTTACATTATCCCACGACATATTTATATGACGGGAGCTCAGTTTATTATTCAGGAGGCCCTGTTCATGTTTAAAAGTTGACTATGTAAAAATATTAACTTCAGTCTCACCAAGTGTCGAAGAACGTGCTCATGAAGTGGCGCCTTGGTCTCGCTCTAGCTTCCCATAAAGAGCAAATAAATGGCAGTAGGCGTGCTGTGTTGCGCCGTTTCATTCTCAAACAAGAGCATGTTGAATCGTACAAATATCGTGTTTCTATTTTCTTGATTCGTGCCTCGACAGAAACTTCCTGCGTCTCACGACTCTTGCTTTACCATGGCTAGCCAGTCGTTTTGGGTTGGAAACAACGGCAGCTTGGGCAAGTCTGAAAACTTCTCGGAGCACATAAACTTAAAAGAAAACAGAACAAAATTCTCATATGACGGTAAAATTGACCGCGACACTGAAGTGAGGGAAGGATGCTGGTCGCAGCAAGCTGAAGTCGTGAAGGCCATTGCTGCGATTGGCAGCAAAGAAAATGCAAGGGAGTCACGTAAACGAGACCTCAGCGGCAACCTCACCCTTCAGGTCAGCTCATGTTTTCATCTTGCGTGTTGTTGTTGATGATCGTACTGCGCACACAGAGCCCCGAGTTCAATTTTAGAGTAAAGCAAACAGCGTTTCAGTAACAGGCATGCATAATTAATTATCAGCGTAATTTATTTAAATTAATTTTCGCTTTTACCCAATTAAACTATGTGCGAGTCGAACTAATTCAGAATAAAATCTAAAATTTTTGATGCCGTTTCCACAAGTAGGCTGGTACCATTCGTCGGCAGTCCTACATGAACGACAACGAAATCTCATTTCTTGAACAGAAATTTTCATATTTTTGACAGTTTCTGGCTTTAAGTTTTATTTTTATAGTTCAGTAGAATTTATTAGGATGCATACAATGAGTTATCCATCCATATTGCTGATTATACGACTCTCATAGATCGCGTATTGATATTTATGAGGAAATCTTCCGCATTCACATTGATTCAGGTTTATTCTTCTAAACTTTTTATGTGTATGTATCGAAATGCAACCACTAGGAACGATATTATAAAAATTTTTATTTAGGTACAGCAGGGTAATTATCTAATATGGTTAAGGTGCAACTCATTTGATATAAAAATTTTATTGAGTGGGTTTCTTTGTTTTCATTTAAGGACAAAAACGCCTTCGTTTGCAATGAAAAAAAAAACTTCGCTATAAAATAATTCTCGTGATTGACCGACCATTCAAAATCAAAGCTTATGGAACTCGCAAGACATTTATTGACACAAATTTCTGCCTGCTCATATTTTCATAACCAATGTTTTTTAGCGCAAATTTTTACATAGGATAGATTGAAGTATCTTTTGGATGGTTTTTCATTATTTCATGCAGATGATGCATTATTTAAATGCATGTTCTACTCTAATTTTACTTCCAAATGACGAAACAATTCCGTTCGAGAACGTGTTAGGCTAACGCTGCAGCTGACAAATTTACTAATATTCTACATAGGTAGTATTCATTTGGTGTCAAGTTAATGATTCACTATCTCTACTTTCATACGATTCTCGTTCATAACATTGACATTATTTGCAGTGCATTCCAATCATTGTTTTTGAATCAAGAAAAGCGGTTAAATATGGTCTGCGTGGTTCAGCTATCAGTTAAAGGTACGGGTTCTCCATTTGCAACAATATTTTTTTTTTGCTGATGGCGATCTGCTAATTAAACAATTTTTAAATGAGTTACGTGCGAACCGAGCAGTTCAAGATCAACTCTATGATACTCGAGGTCAAGTGTTCGGTGGCATCTTCAGACGGGCAATTCGACTTCAAATGGTACTTGGACGCCCATCCCATCACCGGCACCTCGCAAACGTTAGTTACTTTCCTACGGCCATACTTTAAAAACTCGCTAAGTGAACGTAAGTACTTATATACGCTTTATTTTCTTGTCTATGATTGGTAGATTTGGCTTGAAAGGCCGTCAATGATTGGCGGATGAACTTACAATCTCTTAATTTTTATAAAGCCGCGCGTCACAGTCCAGTCAAGCCAAACTGACTTTGATGATCAATCAAGTAATCCGTGTAGTATGATATTTCAGTTATTCAGTTAATTTCAAGTTATTATTTAAGTGAAGGTTATCTTGACAGATGAAAGTTCTCTTTATTCAGTTCATTTCAAGTTATTATTCAAGTGAAAGTTATCTTGACAATAGAAAGTTCTCTTTATTCAGTTAATTTCAAGTTATTATTTAAGTGAAAAGTTATCTAGACAATTTCTTTATACGTGGCAGGTTATACAATGCGGACTGCTGCACAGGCATGCTGCTCGTCGACTCCATAGGAGGTCACGAGTACGGCATTTACACGTGTCGAGCGTTCAACTCTGACGCTGAGGGCACGGCCAGTATCCTGATAGACCCCAGGCCTGAAAAAGTCGTCGTTGAACCACGCAGTGTCGCCGTCAGGAAGGTACTGTTCAAGTTCTGTACTGTCAACTTATTTAAGGTAAGTAAAATGCCCTGTGGAAAGGAAAAGTCACTGTGGGAATTATCAATAATTTATATTTGTCAAGCTCTAAAAACTTTCGTTGCTAAACTTTTCATGCCCAATCAGCGGCCGAATTTTTCGTACATGTAGACCAGCAAATTAACTGACTTTCTGTGAGTCACTCACTTTTTTGTTCATAAAGAAATCAATTGGCTTCTCTCGTCTCTAATTTTAAATTTGATATTAGTTCCATAGACAATTTATATCTGATAGATCATCCATAGCAAATCGCAACTTGATGTGATGACACGCATTCAAATTAGAGGTAATAATAATTTTGTAATTTTGATAATCAGAAAGTTTTATAATTACCAATCGTCTAATGGATAAAAAGAAGTAACCAGAAGGGTTTCGTTAAATCTTAAATGTCGAATGACGTAAATTAGGCACTCCATCACGTTGGTGAATTATATTCCTAAACAGTTCGTTTTATATAGCGCGCATATTTATACCAAGACTGCGTGCATCTCTTAAAAACTATAATAAGCAGAAAGGGTTTGTTTGGCGTACATGCTTAGGATAAATTCAGTTTGAATCATACCGCACTCCGTCTAAACATAGAAACGTTTACGCGTTTCAGATGATTTATCTTGCTCTGTTACACTACAGTTCAAATGCTTAGGGTCACCCAACAATTTTTTGTTTTCCATGAAAAGTCCCATTTATTCACCACCATACGTGGAGAAATTAAGAGTGAAGAAATAATAAGAGACGAAAAAATCGGGTCAAGAAATTGATAAGGTTAGATTATTATTTGCATTTGAAATTTAACATTGTTTTTACATAAAACTCGCATCAAACTTGCAACAAACACGCAGTCACAGATATGGCTATTTTTGTACCATTCTGCCGTAAAGCCCAAAATCCCGCAGTCAGCTCTTCACTGTAGATGTTGAAACTGGTGTTTAGCGGGTAGTATTTAATGAAGATGCTGGACGGAGTCCTGTGAGGCATTTGTTTCTCAAACTGGAGACTCTCATAAACTTATCTTCTTGCTTAGTTGTTCAACGCACCTTCTCACTTCTTTATCTACTCTAGTTAGCTGTTTGTGATGTCCTCTGAAGGGAGAGTTTGTGAGTGCATTGCGCCCACCCTGGTAGTTGCAACTTGTGAGTGGGTGGACTGGGTGGTCGTTGGCCCTATTTGGATAGAACACATTTCTGAGCTAGTTCCTCGACCATTACTGGCTCGCTGACCCGCCTGGACCATAATTGCATTACACAGCACCCTGGAAAAGCCAGGTACTTATTTATCAACCAAATCTGGATGAATGTCTGAGTTGGCCATGAGCTGAGCTTAACTTAAGAATTTGCCCCGAGTGGACTCGAACCCTGGAGCTGGGTGCGAGAGACCGAGTCTCTCACTCTGCACCGCGCAGCTTTTCTTCTGAATGTAGTCCAGTAAACCGTTGAAGGAAATCTTCAATTTTTCAGCAATATCTCACGTTGAATAGCCGTCGTTTCAAAGAAGAATAATGACTGTCAAGGTTAAGATGATAGTTTTCTTTTTCTGGCCATTTGAGCGTTCTGGCCTTACAAATGTGAGGGTCCAGAAACACAATCTGCTCAAAGAAAGTTTAGTTTTGTATCTTCTGTAATGATCTAGATTGTTTTCAGAAATGTGAACATGATAGCACAAGGTTTTTAATCATCAATCAACTTTCTGGGTCAATGAGCAAACATACTGTACCATTAGAACACTGGAGTGATAATTACTGGAAATGGGCCTCCACGTAAAAATTGCAGAAAAAAAACGGACATTTGCAGCTAGAACAGTCATTTAATACATTAACAATATAAAGAGTATTAGGGCTAGTTCAAAAAAGTTAGGACTAGTTTAAAAGTTTTCTTCGTTGAAAAAAAGTACTTTTCATCAAAAATAATGACAGTTCAATGTAACCCATGCAAAATTTTGAACGGTAGTGTACATTAGATGAAATGTTCTCCAAGCGATCTAATAACCAGCATTATTCACTGCGTTGATACATAATCTTATTTCATTGTAATTGTGGCCAATCCTGGAAGTAAATCTTTCGTTGAAATTCCTTTATTATTGAATGTGTTCATGAATGTGTTCCTTGCAATAACTATATGCAATTGCGTTAGTAAAACACACTGAAATGTTAGTAAATCATTTGTTGACCATTTAAAGAGGATTCGAAGTTTGTACATGATAACTGGTACAAATCTCCTATAATTTCCCAGTATGGGCATTAATTCGAAAATGTGTAGAAATGCTAAACACTAATTGTATATTATCTATAATTTTCTATCATGGGCATTCTTTCGAAACTGTGTAGAAATGCTAAACACTAATTATCTATTATCTATAATTTTCTAGCATGGGCATTCATTCGAAACTGTGTAGAAATGGTAAATACTAATTGTCCATTATTGTGGATATTCTGAGATAGTGTGTTCCGTCAGGGCGGGAACCTCGAGCTGAGATGCGTGGGCGTGAACCGTCCCGGCGTGTGGAGGACGATATTTGCAGCACGCTGGGATACAAAGCTGGGCAGACAATCTGCGTTGCCTCTCTGGCACCAGAGACTGGGACCTCTGCAACTGCGGGGAGAAATCTCTGAGCATGTGCAGTGGGCACGCAACGTCCTCCACCTTCATAACATCTCCGTTAGTCTCGCGTACTGAATGGAGTTCTTTCAGTGAATATTGGTCAAATGGAAATTTAAAATTCCTGGATAGATTTGCGGAAATAGAGTGAATTAGGTAATTATATGTGATTATGATACGATTATTATACATTTTAATTGAGCGTAAGAAAAACCTACGAAACTAACTAATGCTAATTTGAGCTGGATAGTGGACCTACTATTTTGAGTACAGAATTTTTGAACTCGTCGATGAGAATTCGGATTCGCAGACAAGTTCTAAAGTACAAAAGTGGAATGTAAGGTTTACGTTTGAATCGTTAAACCTATTAATAGATAAAATATACTTCACTTAATGATGTGTGTGTTTAAAATTATGTTTACAGGACTCTCTGGATCTGACGTGTGCGCTGCACAGCCCCGAGGTGGAGGTAGTCGCGTTTCGCTTCTCATCTTGTCGTGTGAACGACGCTGCAGTGAGTTTTTGTTGTCAACTGTCATGGGCTTACCCAATACGTTGCAAAGATTTTCTGTTTCAAAGCGTGATTTGTCGAGAAATCGCCGAAAAATCAATTTAATTTGAGGAGCAGATCAGTGTTAATAGATCGCGAGGGCAATTCTCTGGTTGATTTTTTGCAGGTATTGGAGTCTTGGGATGTTGAACAAATATCAAAATTCTATATAGCTTTATTTGAAATTAGGATGCTCTTTAAGTGAGAAGATGAAGATTAATTAGAGTAGAAACTAGTATTCTGCATTCATGTTCTCCGTATTTTAGTCGCGGCGGCTGGTAGAAGTGTCGCTGGTGACGGAGGCGAAGACGACGGTGAGGGTGACCGTGCTGCCCGAAGACGAACCAGCCTGCGAGGCGGAGACGCTTCAAGGGGTTGTCTGGCCGCTAACTCGTGTGAATATTTGGTTTTTAACGATTTTAATATTATTTTTTGCCCCTAGTTTATAATTATAATTCAATTGTATTATATAGCATGATTCAATCGTATTTATATAGTGTGTTATTGTTATTGCTAAATCCAGTTCAAGACGGTTACGTGAAGCGTTTTTTTCCTCGGTCCCAAAATGTTTTGGGGTTGTAGAGCGTTGTTGCAGAATATCCGCAACATAGTGATTACTGAATACTTAAGAATTTTGTTTTTGTGTTTCAGGTTCATGATAACTCAGTACAAGGTTGCCCGTTGGGCTACGTAGGTCAAACTCGTCGCAACTGTTCACAATCGCAGGATAACGCCCCTCTAGATGACGTTCCTATAGATGGCGCCCCACTAGATGATACCCCTCCAGATCATACCCCTCTAGATGACACACCTCTAGATGACGCCCCACTAGATTTTATATCGCCGTTCAATATCTCGTCACTTGATGTTAATGGCTCCTCTCCTGAATTTTCTCCCGACGCGGTACCTAGAAGATCTGAAGAAATGAAAGCTCAAACTTTACGAAACTTGAACAGAACACTGCAATTTTCCATTAATTCAGCTGTGTGGCTGCCGCCAGATTACTCTTCATGCCTGCACGAGTCTTTTGAAGAGACAGAGAAGGTCAGTCATATTTATTTAGTTTATGGAAGAACCTGGGTTATGAAGCTTAATTCATTATAATTACACAGCCTTTTCCAAAATGTAAAAATTCTCGTTCGGCAATGGGAGGACATAAATATTGCTCATATTCCCTCTTGTACGCTTCATGTTTTCTTAAAGCAAAATTTGTGAAAAATAAAGGAAAAGGAAACATTTACTTTTTTCATAAATCAATTTACATGATAATGCTCCACGCTGCAATAATATGTTGAAAGCCTTTTTGTATCCTGCAAATCGTTGATTTTTTATTATTTTAATTTTGTATTTAAATTAAAACTCGTATCTTAACTGAAATTTCAACGTAGGTATTTTAGTGTTTAAAAAAATACGCGGTAGAATATTTCAATGCCTTCGATTGACCATTTTCCTTTGGATTTTGAAATTTCCAATAACTTTGTTCCTGACTTTTCATTTTATTCCAGCTTGTCCAGAGAACACGCACAATTTTCCGTACGTTTGATTCATGCGAGGAAAAATCTCACTTGCTCAGTGAGCTTCACGCTACTCTGACAACTTACGTCAGTGGGTTCACACACTTGCCTGGATCGTGTGATAAGATTTTGTCTCTCATGGACCTCGTTCGACAAATTCCTCTCAATGTGCATGGCAACAACGACAGCTTGTCGGGAGCCGAGCAAAGTCACTGCTTGTACAGCCACTGGCATATGTTGTGGACCATCGATTTGTTGGCTCGGACGCCGGAGCTGGTCCCTTCCAAGGTACTGTCTTAGTTTGCATCAATCTGTGTCTTTTCTATCGTCAGATTTAAAAACATTATAAAACCTTATTATTTGTTGTAGGTGAAATCGCTGAGATCATACTCATTTTACTGCAAATAAAATATGAAATTCACTCAATCATGTGTGTGCAGCTCCTAATTCGATTCTCCTGCTTAACAAATGTTATAATTATATTCCCAGTTTTGTTACTTTGTCACAAAATATTGAATTTACTACGATAGGTACTCAGTTTTTTTTCTGTCTGAACTGGCAACAGAGATGGCCGAGTTTACAGAACCTGCTACACGAAGTCGCTCGAGACTACTGGTCCAGTGCCTACAGAAGCTATTCTGATTTGAATTCTGTGACGAATTTCTCGTCGTTCAAGCCTGTGAACCTGACTGATGCCACGCTACCTGTCGCAACTACTGATGTCATTTTCCAGCCTGGCTACGAGTAAGTCGAATGGGTCCTTAATTCTTTGTATGGATAAAAATATTACGAAGAAGATTTTATAATTCTTCATTAGGAAATGTTGGAGATTGCTATGAAACACAATGCCTTTAGATTTACACTTCTTGCTATTATAAATCGAATACAGAAAAGGATTCTAATAGCTATGCAGATCGTTATGTTCTTGATTATATTCAAGATAATTAGGTATTACTGCAATTTGTACAGAAGAACGTCGATAAACATCTCGCTGCATTGGACGAACTCGTCCTACAACTCGAATGATGACGACAATTCCTGGCAAGGTGTTGGCCTCATCTTACACCAGGGAACCGCCATCTTTCCTTACTACGCGTAAGTTCCATTTCGTCTTTTCGCCACGCTTTTGCAACGTTTAATTAACCCTGCAATACGATAGAATGTCTAAGCAGTGTAATTTGTACGCCTTCTGTTTGTGGAGATACCAATTGCCGCATTTGCTTCCAGGCTTTGCGCTTATCATTAAGAAATTATGAAGGCGTAAATTGTATGAGTGCATTTTATTTCTGACTGGATAATCCGAGCTTTGGTAGATTCGAGAATTCTTCAGCTGCGAACCGTTTCTTGTTCTTTGATCGCCAAAACATCAAACGTTATTATTTTTACCGCCTATGATTCTTTCACGTTATTCACTTGACTCATGAGGGAAGTAGGTCATTTTGTTGCTACACTTATTTTTCCTTGAATTTTGTTTTAGAACCCAAATCACCTACTAAATACCTACTGCGCGATTAGTGTGAAATCAATTTCCTAAAATTTGTCATCTCCATCGTTGCGTCTCTTAGTTCTGAATATCTTTATCAATCGGCACATGTTATTCAATTCAAAGTCAGTTTGGAAGGATCTGCTCAAAATGCCAGTTTTTAGATCTGCCACGAAAATTAGATTAACAAGTCACGAAAATTAAAAGAGTCGGCCACAGACCAAGCTTGATCCATTTCCCAGCGCTAATTTGGCCCTCTCAATTAAATTTTAATTTAATTTAATTATCTTAATTAATAATTTACTATACTGTCTCTCGTCACCTCGTCTGGTTGCTACACAGCAATGTGGTGGTGCTGGGCGCAGCGATGCTCGTAATGCCGCCCGACTCTACAGGAGGCGTTCTCAAGATGACGGTACACGCAGCCACGTTGCTCCTGCTCAACGTCACCAGGTCTGCTCATTCACGAATAACTTTTTAATAATAAACTTGTTGCATAATAAAATACGATATTTTTTAACCCTGTACTTTCGTTCTCTCTGTGAATTGCGACGCGAGTTATTTACTTGATAATTTTTACGTTTTTGTAATGACTAACTTCCCAGGATTTCTTCAAATACATTGAACGTGAGTGAACAGCCAATGATTATCTTATTATAGCGTAAGATTATTATAATTTGCTGAAAACTCGATTATCGATAATTTTTTTATTTACTGTTATCAATTTAAATTGATAATTATTGATTGACTTCTGTCATTTGTGTACGTTTTCTTCTATTTTGTCTTACTTTTTCATGTTGATAATTCACAAATACTTGTACAAAACTATCGTATAACTGGCCATAACTCGTCTTGCCCGGCAGTGAATGGAGGAACTCCCTGCAGTGTGGCCGGGTGGACGGCTTTATAGACACGTCAGGGTGCTCGGTCTCCATCGTCCATCTCCCGTCCTCTGCAGCGAGTGTTACCTGCACCTGCCTTGTGGCGCGCGGTGTTGTGTCGATTTTTGTGCCCCAACACAACTCGTCTTCAGTGCCTCTTCTCGGGGCGTCGGTGAGCGGAAACTTGGCTTAAATATCAATATATTTTACAACCTTTCAATTCTGTGTATTGTAAAACACATACGTGAACGCCAAATGGCCGTTGAATTCCGTTCATTATGTAACATAAATGTGAACGCTAGGAGACAATTGAATCCCGTACATTATAAAGTGTAAACCGTTGTAAGTAAGTTCGGCTTGACTAGCGACTTAACTTTAACCTTCCTAATAGTCGCATTCATATTTAATCCCGTGCATTATAAAGTGTAAACCTTTGTAGGTAATTTCGGCCTGAGTAGACACTTAACTTTAACCTTCCTAATAGTCGCAGTCATCTTTAATCCCGCGCATTATAAAGTGTAAACCTTTGTAAGTAAGTTCGGCTTGACTAGACACTCAACTTTAACCTTCCTAATAGTCGCAGTCATCAAACATGTCCGTGAACGGCGTGCTGTTGTGCGGGTGCCTCGTGGCGGGCAGCGTGGTGGTGGTTGCGCTCTGCACCACGCGCTGCTGGCGACGTTCCTCCGACGTGTTCATCACCTGCGCTGGCGTCACCTTCGTCATCCTCATGGCAGCGATAGCTACGATCGCGGTGGCTCCTCGTCTTCATGTTAGATGAATTAATGATATTCGTCCCTTCTTACCATGTACCTATTATTAAATAACAAACAATTGGATTTCACATAATGAACATGTAAGAGAAAAAAATCAATAAAATCGATCACTGTATTATATAGTCACACCTTTCATTCATGACCTTACATGGCCCATAGGAATAACCTAACCAGTTCTTATTCCAGGACAATTTTAAAATTTATTTCCATCCACTCCAGTAAGGGTGTGACCACATCTTATTCTTCGCCTAGTGATTTAGATTATTTTTTAGAGTCCTAGTCGATACCCGACATTTGTAAACATTCGTCTCTGCCTTGTACCAACACCCATTCTTCAAGGTAGTTAAATGTGTGATCTTTATCCGTAGATTATTTTTCATTCAAAATCCTAGTCTTTTTACCAAGAAAATAATTTTCTAGTTTTTTTGCGAGCAGCATTTGTGTAAACTGGGAATAGATTGACTTAGTTGTTTTATTTAATTGAGTTCTTCGGACAATTGCGTTTTAATAATTTTTTCATTACATGTCGTTTCATCAATTAAATAATCAAATGATAGGCAGACGAATTGTATTCTACTACACATACTTCCAGAACTTATTCATTGTTTCCTTGCTTAAAATTATATCTTTCGCCGCTTCATCTATTCTAGAATGACAACATCAATCGTCCTCAGAATTCGGAACTTCTGGTGCTGGCGACTGGCTGCATCCTTCTCATGATGAGCAGCTGCTTCGTGCACCAGATATACACGGCGCATCTCATCTCCCTGCCACCGCTCCCAGACTCTCTGCCGTCCGTCGAACCTCCCATCCCTCGTCTTGCCTGCCCCAGAGGCGTTAAAGTCGCCGCTTTCATTTCTGCCGGTTAGTTCGCTTGCATTATTTATAACTATTTATTGAAGTTAATTGCCAACTCATTTTCATATAATTTTAAGACTTTTTACTTCGTTATTACAAGAATCATATGCGTGGCATCAACTCACCATTAGCTGGGTGGAATTGTGTCGAAATTTAGCTATGTTTCAGGTGTCGGACTGTTGTTTCGTCAAAATCATTTTATTTTGTAATGTCATCTTGAACGTGGACAAAAGCGTCCAAATGTGCCACAAGCTAAAATACGATTTCTTACTCCAGTTGGTGTGTTGTCGTTCACGGCGATCCTTTGGCTGCTCCTCTGCACATCAGTACACTTCCCCGGGCATCTCTCGGACCCCCGTAAGGCATCGATGTTGGTTCTGGCGGTCGCTCTCGTCCTCACGCTGCTCTGGGGATCTTGGGCGGGTGCTAACTACCTCGCTCTCTACCGACGACGTTGTGGCCTCAGTAATTCTCAGGCCAATCAACAACTGTGAGTTTATTTCAGAAGTTTTGTTCCATTCCTTTTTACGTAATATGTTCAAGTCTACACAATATCTCTGTTCATAAAATTTCAAGACTGGATGGTTATTCAAGTTGAGCGAGTTACAATACCGTTTGACAAATTTGATTACAAATGCATTCAGTAATACAATTGATGTATAAACATTTCTTGAAACAATCGTGTCCTCAGGGAAACGAGTGTGCGGCGCAGTATGATGCTGCTGGGGGGCGTGTGGCTCTTCATGCTGAGCGGGTTGGTGGCTGAGCAGCCGCAAGGACGATTTGCCTTCAGCGGTTGTTCGTTGCTCATGGTGCGACCTCTATTAGTAGTTAATAGCTTGCTTCTTGTCTGTTTGATATCTTTTTGTTTTATTCACCTACGCTTTATCTATGCTACAATAAATCTTCATTGATTCGAATTTTGCCTCGCATCGTATTACAAACTGCGTTAGTCTAGATATTTGTTCATTTGGCAGTCCTGCTGTTATGCTTAAATTAATGAAACCCGTATTTCCTCCTACTTTAATATTAATTGCATCAAACTTTTTGAAACATGATCTTTCACGTGGTGTCGAAGGGATTTCACTTTTCGTCTTTAGCGTCGAGGATAATTTGCGAGTACAGGTGTTCTCCAGAAATTCTGTAAAAAGGTGAACTTACTTGATTGAAAAATAACCTAGTTGAGTTTCTTCCCACCTTTGATTTTGTCTTTATTTCCCAAGGCCTGCCTGCTGAGCTACTCCATCATCGAAGATCAAACCGACAAGCTCAGGCGTCCTTCGTCCTCGCGCCCTGAAAGTAGGTTATCATACTAAGCCTAAATAGTGGAGTGTTTATTTTGTTTCGGCTCCATACTCACTATTATATTTAGTGTAATTTTACGTATATCAACCTCAAATTTATGGAATTTAAGTTAGACTTATAACCGTACTGCAAATAATTCGATACGCCTCCTTTTCTCGTGTTTCTTCAGTGACTGGCAATGCGTGTTGGGCTTCAACTAAAGCCTACGTCTCTGCAACAGTTAGGTGCTTGTTCTGCAATCTTCGTGCAAGTGATGAGCGTTCATCTACAAGTGACGCGAACTGCTCTCAACAAAACGGCAGTCACCGTGATTCGAGAACAGGCAGTCAGGTCTCCATATACCCAGACGGTGTTCACGCGTACTCGTATCCCTTACACCGGCTCTCGGCGAGCAGCGCGCAACTACCAAGTTTCGGAGTATTGAGAAAAGAATCAAACTGCGTACAAATCCGTGTGCTTTCGTCCCCTGTAGGTTATCTTGACATGTCCAGTAACGTGCAGGGTCGATACATAAACATGCCCAATAACGTTGTGATTCCAGCCGCTCCATGTTCGCTCCCTGACACAGAATTAGAGGAGCCTCCTCATGTTTATGCCAGTATTGAGGAAACTAGTGTTGAAGATGTGCAAGATTACATGTCAATGACAAAACTGTCTATCTAATTTTAAAAATTATTTCTATCCTCGGGATGCGAATGCTAAGGCGCTCGAAATTAGTTGCTTTTTGGGTCTTCATTCACAGTAAATTACAAAAAATTACTTAGTCGTCCCTTTTGCCATTGCTCGCTTATTTCCGATGGGGTGCTTGCGGATTGGAATCCGGACTTTTTACCATTAGTTTAAACAAAACGTTTATATCATTTGTACTTCCTTTTGTTTCGTGTCATAGAAATTTATCGTTACAAACCTCTTTCAAACGTTTATTTGTTACTGCATGCAATTTTTTTGCATGCCCATGTTTAGTGTTCAGTTCTTGTTTAGTTCTAAATATTGTATCTATGATGATCAATAGATAATGCGGTTGTCTAGTTTACGCTTTAACTTCCTAGTATAACTCGATCCAGCAGATTGCTGGCGATCAGTTGTCAATTGAAGCAATACGCAAGATTATCGTTTCAGGTGATCTCTCTACTTCTCGAGAAGCATTTAACAACGACTCTGACATTACGATCAGTGATAACTTTCATATAGATATTCGGTTTCAATCAAATGACGATGACGTCTCTCTGAGATATTATTCCCATTTTTCACTATAATGCTGAGAGTGAATTCAAAGTAATGATTGAGCTACTATTTCATATTGAATTTTCATATCACTATCTCATATTTTCACATGCATCCAAGAGATTTTGATGATGTGTATGGATGGAGCCATTTCAGTGAAGTTCATGTGGTAGGATGGATTAATGAATACTTCAGTAACATAGACTACATCGCACCGAAAGAGTAGGTACTTTGTTGGTGCACACTAGCGCCTAGACCACCCATGCAATGCAGGTGTTGCCAAAACACATGCTCCTAGCACAACCCAAAAATGTACACGGTTTTAACTAAAATACAACCTCGATTGACATCAATTAGCGCAGCTAGAATCCTGGCATTCTAGAACAATGGTTGAGTGAGGATATTTGTTCATCCGACGAAATGACTAATGTTAGATCTCAATCACAGCGTTAGCAGGCAATGCTCTAGCAGTTAAAATTATAAGATCCGATTGATAGATGAAGTATACAACAAAATCGTGATCACCAGCGAACAAAATAAGCCGACGCAGGGGAACAAAATTGTCAATAACAAATTAGGCTATTCAGTTGAGAAGAATGATTCTTGGCAGGTGAAATAATATTTTTATTGTGGCAATTCGTGCGTCAATATTGGTCACCATTACAAAACACGTAGCCAGACCACCTAACAATGCTACATTAATGCAGCATAGAGTATTTGTACAACATTACGTTACAGGTACAATAATTTATACCTAGACATAAAGTAGAAATGACATAGCTTCTTAAACTAGAATTAAAATGGTATTGAAATCATCATCTGCCTTGAAATCTGGGGTTTCAACTTCTAGAAAAAAAATGTACATACAAATTCAAAACTTGAGAAAAATGATTAATGAAATATTTAGAGCATGTTTTAGGGCTTCAATTATATACACATGCAGTCAAATGCATAGTTTATACTACAGCAGACAACGCAGTCACAGTCCATTGATGTCAACGGATCTTCAAATCTTAAAGTTAATGTTGACCCAAAATAAAACATTTGCACCCACCATAAAACTTTACAATATTGGAGGTTTGAAAGGAAAAACAAGACATAACTGAGAAACTTCAGTTTTAAATTCTAAAAAAATTCTTCATAATGTATTAATCAATTTTTAAAACACTATTTACAAATGTGAAGAACACGTTTCGAACGCATTATTTTTGCATTGAAATGAAGTAAGAAATCAAGAATCAGATCTAGATGAACATAAAATTAATACACAAAACTAAGTTAAATATTATGCTTGAAAAAATAATAATTAAACTGTTTGCTCAGATTTTCCTTGTGGTTCTGGAGAAAGTGACATAGCAGACGTCTCGGATACAGAGGTATTATTGTGCATGACAGCATCCGAGGAGTTGTCATGATTGGCAGAAGCGGAGCTGCTGGAGGCAATATTATTACTGGATGAATTTATATTCTTCTGTTTAGGCTGGAATTCAGTAATGATCACAGTGACATTGTTGACTGTAACTGCGTTATGCTCTGCAGTGCTGCGGTCGACATTCTTCAATCTTGGTCTGCTCAACAAAAATCTTTTAGCTCAAGACCTTCAGCACACAAGTATCAAGTTCAATATTTTATCATTAACAGCAAAACATGCATAATATTTAATTTTAGGATGAAATTTTAAATGCATAGTATATTTCTGATCATGTAATCTAATGAGAGATCTCATTTAATTAGAAAATTGTATAGTAAAATTAAGCAAAAATTTTGCTAAAACAAGAATTGCACTAAGAATATTCCAGTACAGAAGTACATGCTAACTAACCTTCCTTTTGAAGAAAGACGACCTTCAAATTTTCTTTCCTTATGAGTTCTTTCAGGCTTCTTAGGCTTGGGAGGGAGAACTTGAGCAACCTGTGCAGCCACAAGCTCTGCATTCAGACGAGGTTTTCTGGAGGTAAAAATGGTATCCAGTAGTAGATATTATGATTGGGAAGTGATGGAGGTGGGAGATCAACTTTGAACAGTTGAGTTCCACAATTATAAACATCTTATTTAGCAACAATTCGGCCTCAAAATATCTAAGAAAGCTATATAGGTACATTATACACATTTTCAATTGAGTGAATAATTTAGAGATAAAGGTAAAAAATCTGACTATGGCCTCAGCAAACAGATTTCATTTTAAAAATTGCATAGCTCATCACAGCTGCCACCAGAAAAAACAACGAATTCAAGTGCAAGTTTTTTTCATTGTACTGAGTAATGATAAGACTGCATTTAATTCAGATTTCAGGGTTTGTACAAACATTATGTTACAAACCTTGTTGAAGTTCCTTTTCTCACATCACACATGAGACATTTGAATGCCTCAGGAGAATTGCGATATGTGCAAACACTACAGTCCCACATATTGTCTTCTTTATTGGCACGCTTCATCTGTTTTCATTAAAAAGTAACTTCCAATGCCCTAAAAGATGTACAAAAGAATGATATAAAAAAAGATAAATTAAGATATTTCTTACATTGTATTTGATTACAATCATCGCATTAAAATTATTATGCATAATATTGATAAACTACAAGAACATGCTCATGACACTTATTATTGTGAGAACATTTTTTATTGATGTTAATCCTAGTTTTAAGGAAAATGATTTTTCAAATCGCGTCTTCTTTTAGTAAATTATTGGAGAAATTTATATTATGCTGGAGATTGATAATAACAGATATAAAAATTTAGATGCACCATTATCTTGAGAGGGAATATTGCTAGCCAGTAAAATGAATATTTTCTCATCAAACAAGAGTTTTGAAACTTGTGTTCATTATATAGGAAAATTATCACCAGCAGCAGCAGAGCAAACAAATGTACATTAATTTAGTGGATCTTAATGTGTTTGCAAAAGTATAAGAAATTAAACTTGTTAGATGAACTGGAATAAAGAGCATTTGTTTGTCAGATACAACTTAAAGCAGTTTTCCAATCTTCTGAGGATAAGGCCACAAAATTTATGAAAATTGGCTCCAAAAATTCAATAACCAATAATAACCAATATGACTCCAAAAATTCAATAACCACCCAAAAGTAGTTGACATTTATCACACCTGAGCATGTGTCTGTAAAGTGTGTGTATATAATGCATAAAAGTGACAAAAAAAAAATGTGCGGGCTAATCAATCTTTAAATGCATTCATCAATCTTCTAATCTAATTAGTTTGATATACCATAGCACAAAATAACAGCCTATTTCAAGTAAAGATTTCAGATCTTTAGTGGGAACATTTTCTTATTAATACAATAACAGTTTAGTAAGAGACTGATTTTAATTGCCTTGCATCCAGTCTTAGAAATAAAAATATACCATCCAGATGCTCAAGTATTGCACAAAATAGGTTATTGATGCCAAATTCATGGCCCAAAGTGAAAGAGCCTGTGGCCCTATGCAATCAATCATTTGTGATCTAAAACAAAAAATTTGGGCAGAAATCACCAGTGAATTTGACAGAAAAGCCCTTAAATCTAACCAATTTCACCTTGCTCCTATGGTCTTTTCCAAATTTCTTCAGTAAATATTTTTAAATGGCATATGTTTGCCCATTATTTTCAAAAATCACTTGTGAAACAAACATTTTTAACCAGGATTTTAGGGCAAACTTCAGCCCAATATTCAAAATTGGTTTGTGATCAGATCATCACTTATTGTCATCAGATCAGATCATAGGTTATCGATTTATAATCATGATGACTTGATAACTTTGATGGAAATTGAAAAGATTGAAAAGATGCCAATATCAACAAATATGTTTATACTCTATGAAAACAGGATTGTAATTTCTCAATGAATGAATGAAGTCTTGCAAAGTGACAAATTTTTTATAAATTTCTAATCTGGCAGCTCAATCATGCACTTTTGTTAACATTAGCTAGATAGGTAAAGGGAGGAGCCTAGGGCCCTAGGAGATAATTCATCTAGTTCTGGGAGGAATCTTGCAACTGGGAAAATGGCTATAAAGCCCTGTTTGCTGGCTTGTGGCTTGGGTGCCTGGGAGCAAGCATGGAAATAATGGAATACATAAACATAAAACATTTAACCTTTAGGGTTGCAACTTGAGCTTTCTTGCCATTTCCAGAACCGCAAGATTTTCACCAGATGAATTACCTCCTATAATCCTATCTAATTATTAAACAAAGTGCACAAATACAGCACAATCGCCAATTGGGCTTCAAGATTCCAAATGCATTACATATTTGTCACGTTGGAACCACAAGATTTCAGAACTTGCAAGTAGGAAAATTCCAATCCTGTGTATCTCTGTGTTGCCTGACGTAAGTCACGTAACGTTCATGCCGAGGCCGATTTCTGACGACCTGCAAACCTGTTTCTAGTTGCCACTTGCCTGGAACGTTTTTTTTTTCAAGGCGGAACGCTTTTTTTTAAGTGAACCTCTAATCTTAGATTTCCACTCTGTGCCTGGCTAAGCTGGCTTGCGTTTAATGAGTTATTTCTTGTGGCATACTTCGCTTATGGTCGTTACGGGTGAAATCCTCGTAAACCGCGTGCGCTACGGCCCTACGGGTGCGGGTGGAAAGGCTAAAAATACGGGTGAGATTGTCTCACCGTCTCACGTGCACGGGTGAAGGTTTACCACGTGCAAGGGTGATTTTTGCTCGGCCACGGGTGGTTTTTGCCCAATTTTCCATACCGGGTTGGAAGTAGATAACAATCATAACATATCATAATCGATTAATCGTGATGATCCCACTTTCTACAGACCCAACACCCAAGCCAGCATCATCACAGCATGAAAGATGGAATAATAAAAAATAATCATAATATTATAATGCAGTATAAAAAATTCAAATTGCAACCATTTTTTTATATATATCACAGTTGATCTGGGTCTGGTCTGTCTGGGAACTTGGAAAGTACCTAGAGTTTGTGGAGTGTGGACCAAGTTTCTACTGTACTTGGCGTTGGCAAGTAGCAGTCTAGTGAGTCTAGCAAGCAAATACCTACCTAATCATAGTGGGCTAACTGGCAATGAAGAGTTTTTTCCTCTTCCTAAGTTCAATTTTGTCATTTTGAGTCCTAAAAGTAGACCAGCTGTAACAGCAAAGTATCCTGGATTAACATAGATAAGATATTGGTTTAAATCTTGAGTAGCTAAATGAGGAAATTAGAAATAAACTGATTCTAAAAATCTTTTTTACTACAGCTCGCCCGCTCGCCGTCACCGGCGTCGCCGCACACGGGAATCGGGACCAGGGACGGTAGGTTGCGTAGGATGGTATCATGGTAATGATGGTAGCCTCACTAGCTATAGCCTATAGGCTATAGTATAGGTAGTACTGGACTAAAACTGGAGTACTGGACTAGGGATCTCATTTTTGTAAATAACTTAATTCAGCCCAGGAAGCACTAAGCAGTGTTATTAAATTATCTGGAAAAAATGTACACGATCTTCACAATTATCAGAAATTACAGCAAGACTTGAATAAATAATGATTTGCGACATTTAGAAAATGACATTAGATAAGGCGGTCACATAACTGCCAATATCATTAATGTACCGCAACACCCATAGTTTTCAAAGCCATCCGAAATCCGAATACAAAAGCCGAGTCTTTCTCTTGTAATCGAATACAAATCCGGAATAAACAAAATATTAAATTATCTTCATCAATAATTTTTTGCTTGCAATATGTATACATTGTAGCAGTATTTGATAATGATTTGATCACGTCCCCCGATTTCATGAAGAATAAGCTTATATATTTACTAAATAGCATTCAAATTAAATGTACAGAATTATGACAGAAAAAATGACCTTGGTTAAATTGTAGCTATTTCAAGAAGGCAACATGCATATTTTATATGAAAAGATTATGAAAAATTATTAATTAAGCCTTCTATGTCTTATGCGTGTGTGAAGTCAAAAAGGATCCTAGTGATGTGTGAAGTCAAACGGGGCGCATCCTAGTGAAGGATGCGTCAAACAAAGCGCAATTACAAGATGATCTTGACAGTTTACTTAACTGGGCTGATACAGTACGTGGCAGCTGCGGTTTAATGCTGACAAGTGTAAAGTACTTCACCTCGGGAAGAACAATGAACAGCAAGATTACAGTATGAGAAGACATGGTTGCAACGAGAGAGTAATGGTTGAAAAGTCTAGTGTGGAAAAAGATCTCGGAGTTTATGTCGACAAGGAGCTGAAAATTTCTAAGCATGTTGAAACGCAAGCTAACACATCCAACAAACTTTTTGGACTAATCAGACGCTCATACGAGTTCCTAGATGCAGAAGCGATGATCAAGTATGAACGCGTTCAAGAACAGACTAGATAAAGCTATGGAAAAATATATGTTCAGATTTGAAATGCCTAGCACCATATCGAACCCGGTGCAAGTCTAGTAGCTACTTGAAACTATCGTCAGTCATGAAAAGGTCCGGTCAAATAAAACGATATTAGATCTTCTGTGAACAAGGCACGAAAAGGAAAAGAATCGGCGACAGGCCACATCAGGCCTACACTTCGGCGCCGAGATCACCATGTTATGTTATGTTAAGTCTATGTCTGCTAGACTAAAAGGCCAAATAATGACAAAATTCATAAAATTTAATTGCGCTTTATTCGGGAGCCATGATTGAACAGTTCAAACATGCCGGGAGCTACCTGTCTGATATTTAAATTTCAATAGACTGTAAGATATCTCAAGGTATATTTATTATTATTGTGGTCGTATTGCGATGCCGGAAGGAAAGTGGGGGAAAATTCAAGAGATAACACAGATTGGCTACATTGCTCAAGAAATACTAATGATAACGAGAGATGAAAATTGCGCTTAGATATCATTAGGTTGGTTGAAGGTTTTGAGGGTTGGATATGAGGGTTAGGGGTTAACGAATCAGTCAGGGCTTTAGGTGGACTGTACGGATGAGTAAGAGGTGAAAAATGATTCAATATTAATACCCGTTGCCTTTCCATTTGCGACTACTAATAAATAATAAAGTGTACAATCTCAAGTGAATTGAAGAATGCCGAGCTATTTTATTGCGAATTTGGTCTTTTGTATGGCTTCTATGTCTTAATTCGTCTGCATATATTTGCCCGATCTTGTGTAAAAGTTAGTCATGCTGCGTTTGCTGTTTGCTCTGTAGTGCGTGCATAAGGGCAGTTCACTGCAAGAGCCCGGCGGTTGTTGGGTCAATTAAACCATCTTTTGTACGTGAGTGCATTGAGTGAACGTGTGATCTTCATCAGCGCATTCGGAACATGATGAAATGTTATTATAGTGCATACTATATTGTCGGTCAGATGGACTTCAAATTTGTTATACAAGTGCAGACGACAAGGTTGGTGTAGTGTTATACTACTCCGCATTGCGATGAGTGTGATTTTAATGGGTTTCAAGGAATTCGTTCCGTTATTGTGGTATCTGTGCCTATTTATATGACGTGCTTGCAGTGTTTTTTTATGATGTCTTGAAACG